ACACCAGTGACTTTTCCAGCTCAAATAATGAAAATGGTGATGCATTATGGGTGATAATGTGCCTGAATCTGATTCCCAGGGAAGCAGAGGGAGAGAGAAGGTATAAGGCAGTGTTGCAATAAAAAATCAACAGGTTTTTTTTATCGAGTTTATTGGCACATTTTAGGTATACAGCACAGTTGCATTCATTATTGGGATCTTGTGCCTCTACATGACAGGTCTTGGTTCTCATTTTTCCCCCTTGTCCCTGCCCTTCCTTCACCCCCTCCTCCCCTCCCCATTTACAAAGACTTTATTTCCATTTTTTCATTTTCTCCTATTTTTTTTCTTTTCCCTTATTACCTTTCCCATACCCTTCCTGCTTTCCCTATACCTTTAGCCCTTTTCTTCCAACAATTTTTATTTTAAAGTAGTTTCTGTTAATGCCTATTTTTTTGAAATATCAAGAGTCTCAAACTCATTAATTTCAAATATCAGTGCTTTAGCACAAAGCCAGTCAATACTTATGTTTATAAGAAGTGAATTGACTTACATGAATTATATTGTATTTCATATGATAAATGAATCATGTTGCATTTTCCTACTGTCATATTTAAACATAGGATATGGTAAATATTGGGGAAGCAACTCAAGAATGATTACAATTTGGGGAAAACTGATATAATTGATTCATGGACATACAATTCCCAAGTTCTTTCTTCTAAGGTAATTATTATGTTACTGTCTGATAGAAAATAATTTTTGAGAGATTTACACATTCTGTCCTGAAGGTAGAGTGCTTTAAAAATTCCTGTGGTTAAGTGAAGGACACACTTTCCTAAATTCTTAATGATTCTAATATCAGGATAGTCTACTATTATTAAGAATTTAAATGTAATTTAATTTTATAGCTTCCGCTTTGTGGTCCTGACCAGCACACTTTTTAGAGAATTGTGCATGCAGGGAAAATTATTCTGTAGTAAGTGCTTATTCCTGCTTTCCCCCTTAGGTCTTCTTGCCATTCTTGAAGTCACCATGTTGGCTAGGCACGGGAAGTTTACAGAGGTGGCTGTGGCTTCTTAGTATGCTCCTTTACAGACATACACATACATGCGAACACACATGTATGCACACACACAATCTCTATCTCCTCTCACTCATTCCTTAGTCTAGGCTAAGCCTCACTTTTTCAAGGACGAGGCCACCTCCCTCCAAAATCTGATCTTACTGCATACTGTTCTGATTTGTGGCACTTACCCCCACCCCACCCTCTGTTGGTGAATATATATTTAATTCTGTGAACATGTGTTTAAAATCTCTGCCATGGCCAGACATGGTGGTGCGTCCTTGTAATTCCAGCATTGTGGGAGGCCAAGGCAGGATCACAGCCTAGGCAATAGGGAGTTAGAGAGAGACTGTCTAAAAAAAAATTCTTTAAAAAGGATTAGAGGTGTATTTTAGTGTGATTGACTTGGATTTAGTCTCCTGTACTACAAAAATAAATTGATAAATAAATACTCTGCCATACCACAGTAAGGTGGGGAAGGAGGAAGAATGTGTATATTTTACATATCTTGTCTAAAACAAGTGTTCAATAAGTATTTGTTGATTTAATAAATGACTGGTTGACCTCCTAACCATAAAAATGAATTTTGCTAATAATGGTGCTTATTTGTGTTCAGGAAGAGTAAAAGGAAGGAACTGAGGTCAACTGCAAATATGAGGTAGGTAAAAATGGAGACAGTTTGTGTACAAAAAACAGGCTTATTCAGAAAACTGTAGCTAAGTAATGACCCACTTTCCAGGAATGTCCCCCTCCAATCTAGGGACATTCCAGCCAGAAGAAAGCAAGGGTGGTGCTTGAGGCTGACCCCTCGGAGTCAGAAGTGATCTGAATGTGAATCAGTGAGGCGAGGTGAGCCTCAATTTACCGGTGGTGGGAGGCGCCATTTTGAAATCAGCACAGAGACTTTACAAGGGGAAGGACCTTGGGCTATCAGGTCAGGTATGTCCCTCCCTAAAATTTCTGAAAGCAATAAAAAAAACGCACATCAGATAAAAGGTTTATACAGCCCCACTTTGTTTCCTGTTCTACTGTTGGGAGGGAACAGATCATTTAGAGGAGAGAGAAACAGTAGGCTGAAAAGTTGCCAATCTCTGTCTCTCCGGCCCGTTTTTTTTTTTTTTTCCTTTTCATTTAACTTACTTTTTAACTTTTTAATTAGTTTGGGTAACTTAACCTCCTTTTGCTGAGGACATTGTGAAGATTCCATAGCTCACAGTAATGCATTTTTCTGCCTAAAGTTCTTCAGGACTACCTCTTCCTCTGAAATAAGAGCTTAACAGGCCCTTTGACCCAGATCTATCTCTCTTTCCTCAGCTTCTGCTGTTCTTTCTTCCCTGGCTCCATGTAAAACTCCTGTGGACCGTTTTCTGTATCTAGAACCAGTTCTTCTACTGGGACACCCTTCCCCAACCTCTGTCTGACTAAGGCTTACATGGTCTTCAGGAAACTGTTTGGATAAATGTTTCTTTGTCCAGGACACCTTTCCTGATTCTGCCGTTGTTTGTGAGTGGATTCCTACACAAACATATGCCCTTGTTTTCTGAACCACGGTGATATCTTGTCCTTTACCCCAAAATATTTTAGGGATGATTTCCTAAGAACAATAGTATATTTTTGTACGGCCACCATATAAATACCTAACTCAGAACATTTGATATTACTAAAATACTATTTCCTAAGTGCCATTCATATTCAAATTTCATCTATTGTGTAATAATATCTTTCATAGCTACTTATCTCCCTAGTTCAGGAGTCAATCCAGAGTTAAGCATTATATCTAGTTTGTATATCTTTGTAATCTTCCTTCAACCATAAACAGTTCCTCTGCCTTTCTCTGGCCTTTGACACTTGAAGAGCATAGGCCTATTATTTTATGAAATAGCCCTTGACTGAGATACTTTTAAAACAGATCTCACTGTTGCCCAGCTAGCCTTGAACTCCTGTGTTGAAGTGGTCCTCCTGCTACAGATTCCAGAGTAGCTGAGATTTTGGGTAGTGCCACAAACCCAGCTTAACTTTGTTTTTTTAAAGGCTTCCACCAGACTTAAGACATTGTATTCTTCTACACAGATCAAATTGGGAGGCACAAGATGCGAGCTTTTCCCAGTGTTGATGCTATTTACTTGACTGTCTTGAGTTACCTTGTGTCCTCCAGTTTTCTCTACTCTAAAGTGCTTCTGTTAATCATTGGATGTACACTACCAAGGAAGTACACTTTGAATTTGCAGAAATATCCAGTTGGTCTTCAAACTTTCATCTACTAACATGACATCCATTTTTTTTTTCTTGGTACCACGGATCGAACTCAGGTCCTTGCGCTCGCGAGGCAGGCAGTGGAACCACTGAGCTAAATCCCAGCCCCCTGACATCCATTTTTACATCAGCTTTATTTTCAAGGAAGCTTATTGTATGACATTAAAAAGAAAAAGGCTATGATTATGATAAATGGATGTTTAAACCACACTTACCTAAAATACCCTCATCCCTTGTATCAGTTCAATGTCTTCATTTAAAAAGATCTCACCACCTACTATTGAGAGGAGTTTGAGATGTAAGGCACTAGCCAGGCTTTCTCATTTGCATACTTAACTCTAGTCATAGTTATCTTTTGATCCTTTTGTTTAGCAAAAAAAAAAAAATCCATGAAAAGAGTGTATTTTTTAATAAGAAAGAAGCTACCAGAAATGATTCCTGGTTTGCCAAACATCATAATACTGCTTTTGGTCGTGTTATGGTGAGCATCTATAATTGTATTTTTTAATGCTTGCTACAAGGGCTTATTTATACTCTGAAGAGTTCCTTACAACCTTGAGGTCTGTGGGGCTGAAAATCACTTGGATTGATTAAAACCCTGAGAAGAATGATGATGAGAGGCAAATCATATGAGCATCAGGAAGGTAAAATATTACCATTTAAACTAGAAATGGAATTCTTTTCCCTAAGTGATCATATTTGCAAGGCCAGGTTGGCTTGTTCATTGTAAGATTGTTAATAACTATAAGTTATTCATTCAAAAGAGAACTATCCTATAAGCCTACTAAGTGAGAAAGACCACTGCATACAAATTCTGCCTTTTCAAAGTGTGTCTTTCAGTAATGTACTTCTGGGTATTGAAACAAAATTTGTCCAAAATGAAACTTCTTATAGGTTCTACCATGAGAGCTAAGAAGCAGGAAGATGGTTGATGGTAAAGCCACTATTCCTCTGCCATCTAGAAAGACGATCTGCTTGGCCAAGTGCTCAGGTTCAGAAATCACCCAAATTGAGTGGGGAACAGGGCAGGATCCCCATCCCTAGCCTGGCCAGCAAAGGCTAGTTGACATTCATGATGACAAGAGTCAGCAAGCTCAGTGACCTCAGGCCCAAGAGTGTTAGAAAAGGATCTGTTTCTTATATCTCATTCATCATCTGCACTCGAGGTTCTGACAATACATGAGCTTGTCTGCAGTGGTCTTAGTTCCCGAAACATTTTTAAGTTAAAGAAATTCTAGAGTGAATACTTTTCCTTTAGCTTTGAAACACGTCAAAATACCTTCATGCAGCGTCCAATTTGTCCCTGTCAGAAAAATCACATAAAAAAGTATACTCTGAATACTTTTCTTTATTTCACAGTAAAGTGAAGAAACTGAAGATGAGCAGGGTAAAAGCAGCACAGCTCAGAGTTAGGACTAAATCACTTCTAAAAGTCTGAGCTCCAGGGTCACAGCCTACCAGGCTACATGTTTGCTTTTCTCTGAATGTCTCGACTAGGCCCTCAAAAGGTCTCATTCACCATGACTGCTTTCAAGATATTTATCATTTTTTCAATGTCTCGAGCTCCAGAACATAGGGGTTAGAGGATGGGAACCTATTTTTTTAGAATTAGATGCCAACATCCACCTCGCATAAACAAATGACCAGGCCGAAATGCCACCTACATCTCCTGACCACAGAGACTTCCTATATCTCTTTTCAGACGTGAGGCTGCCGCTAGAAATGACCCTCTCCATGGACTCGTGTTGGCACCGATGGCAGTGGCGAGTCCAAGATGGCACCCCCAAGTCTCCGTCAGAAACCACCCCACTGCTGTCTTCACTGAGGGAGAGGCAGAGCTCGGGCCTGCCTTTGCAGCGGATTGTGTTTCCCAACAATGGCATGTGCTACCAGGACTGGGAGAAGCTATCCGGGAATTACGCAGGCAACAAGATCTGTACCACCAAGTACACGCTCCTCACCTTCCTACCTCAGAATCTCTTCGAGCAGTTTCACAGGTACACAGCCACGGGTCCAGACAACACACATTTTAATCAAGTATTTGCCACTTAGGTGAACTCAGGTGATGCTGCCTCTGAGGACCACCTTTCCTTTCACACCCAAACACATGTGTCTTGTGAAGTTTCTCTCATTCATTCGCTCATTAAATAAATATGCGTCCCTTCATCTCTTGGGCATTAGAGATCCATAAGAAAAAAGAATAGAGAAATAGAGCTCATTGAATGTACTCTCTAGTGAAAGAGACATTCATTTTTAAATTTAAAAACAATGTAAAATTACAGCTAGAATAAGTATTTTCATGGAGAGATATATGGTGCTGCTGAGGTGAATAATAGAGAAATCTGGACTATCACCACTTTACCACACCGAAAACCAGCCCAAAAAGGTCAGCCTACTACTAAACAGTAGAAACAAAATTTAAATCTGGATCTACTGGTTCAAGGTCCTTACTGTAATATTTAAGGTGACACTAAAAGAGAATGTCCTTTACATTAGTAAGGGCCAATAATAGAGGAGAAATAGAGAGGAGAGCATTTTTCTTCTCTGTGATTTTCATTCTCACCTTGCTTGCCCCTTGCAGGTGGGCTAACCTGTATTTCTTGTTCCTGGTGATTCTGAATTGGATACCATCCATGGAAGTCTTCCACAGGGAAATTACCATGTTACCTTTAGTCATTGTCCTGTTCTTCATCATGGTTAAGGATGGCATGGAGGATTTCAGGAGATACCGTTTTGACACAGAGATAAATGGTTGCAACATTCAAATATATGAAAGGTAAAAGAAATCTCCCAGTTTTCTCTCATGCAAATAGGTTATACCAACTTATTAGCATGTTCAAAAGGTAGGTCTCTTTTTTTTTTACATTATATTTTCTTAAGTTTATTTCGTTCAGTGACTCAACTGAAGGCGATTTTGACACCACCCCCAACACCCCAACTACCTGCCCAAGAGCATTTGGTAATATCCGGAGATATTTTTTACTTGTCCTACTGGTAGGGAGGCCACTGCTGGCCTCTAGTGGATAAAAGCTACGTGTGCTGCTAAACATCCTCCAGTATATAGTACTGACACCCACACTCACACACACACTCTCTCTCTACACACACACACACACACACATGTACACACACACATGCAATGAAGAACTATCATTCAGCCAAAACTGCTAATAGCCCTAAAGTTGGAATCCTTGTGAAAATGTTCATATTATTAAGCACAAGGACATTGCATTATTAATAGTGGATTTGGCAGCTCAAGAATTAGATTCTCTGTTAACTGGATCGCCTCAGGAGACTACATTCAGGTGAAAATCTTTGAAGGGTATCAGACAATTCCTCCCAAACAGGAAAATGTATGCCATTTAATACCCTCTGAGTTTCTTGGCTAAAAATCCTTGCTTTTAGAGCTTAACCAGGTAGGTTTTAGGACCCAGAGTTAGTGCACCTGTTCCTGGCTTCCTCACATGGGGAAGGAAGACACCTGCAGATGACGTCTACGTTCCAACAGGTGGAGTCTCACACAAGTAGGAGGAACTGGCCGGGTAGATACACACTCGCTCTCTACAAGCTGCTTCCTTGTCGTATTTCTCCCCTGCTGTTTCTATGTGGGCTTCTCGTGTTTAATTTTCCTTTTGAAAGAAGAGAAAAAAAGAATATTCAACCAGGAAGGCAAGTAAAAGATGAGAAGTAAATTATGAGGATTAAAGAGGCAATACTGAGTAGAAATGAGACAAGAAGGGAAGAAAAGGAGGAAAAGGAAAGAAGACAAGAAACGAGTGGTGGTCTCCAACCTGCTTTTTGAAGGATGGTCCCAAAAAGAGAATCCTAACCACCAATATCGTGGGAATCACATTAAGACCAGCAAGTATACCCTGTTATCCTTCATACCCAAGAACATCTTTGAGCAGCTCCACCGGTTCGCGAATCTGTACTTTGTGGGCATTGTGATTCTGAACTTCATCCCCGTGGTCAATGCTTTCCAGCCCGAAGTGAGCATGATACCAATCTGTGGCATCCTAGCAGTCACTGCCTTCAAGGATGCGTGGGAAGACTTCTGGAGGTACAAATCTGATAAAGTCATCAATAACCGGGAGTGTTTCATCTACAACAGGTAAAGCAAATGATGGCTGGGCTGTCTCTCTGGCCCTCTGATCTTTCTGTGGCCGCTCCTGCTACAGCTACTGCTTGTAGAAGGAGTGAGGTAGGGAGATACCATTATTCTAATTTCAGTAAAGTGTTTCATTCTCTAAAGTGAAGGTTACAGTTTACAAAGCCAAAGAGGATTGAGTCAGTCTTTCAAAATTAGGAAAACTTCATTATGTGGTATTTTCTTTGTTGTTACAGTGTATCCAACATTTTTTAATTTTGCATTAATTCTCCTCCCACCTTGGTGCAATGTGGCACTCAATGATTATATGTAAGCATGTTTGGGGGCACCTGTAGGAAAAAAGCTATCACTGTTTTCCAGAGCAGTAATGGGACACTATGTTAAGAGAACCAGGGACACGGTCGGGGTTAGATACTGTCTCCGATTCTTACTAACTTGGGACCCTGGGAAATTGATGTGACCTCCTTTAGCCTCATCTTGGGATTTGTAAAACTGGAGTCATTCTTTGAGTGGTGGTGTGAACTGCACAAGATAATCCTTAGAAAATGCTTAGTATTATGCCTATATGTAGAAGTGCCCACCAAATGCAGACTGCACTTACATTTAGCATTTTCTCCTTCAAGACTGTCCCTCAATGTCTTCTCTGATGTCCCAACACAACAGAGTCTGCAAGCCACCATCTTGCCACATTATTTAATGTCACTTTCTATATGTTGTTATTTTACAAAATTCTACTGGGAAAATTACCAAACTGGAGTGCTAGGTATATAGAGCATTTTTTTTTTCTCTCAGTAAGGGAAGAAGAGAGTCAGAGCGTATCTCTAATTTGCGACAATTCACGAGCCTCACAAGAAGCAAGGGAATGAAGCCTGGCATCCTGAAAGATTCCAGGGAGAGAGAGTGTTTCTGAGCTGCAAGTTAGTCACTTTAGATGACTAAATGGACTGCAGACAGGAGTTTAAATTCTGACTGCAAAGGGAAAGCACCCATCTCTGACCTTAGTGGAACAGAAATTTCTCCGCTGCTGTGGCCCCTGTTAGAATGAGAGGTGGACCCTCCAGCCTGTTAGGAACTGATGACTTCGAAGGAGGGGCTCTCTTCCCTGGGAGCGAAACATGGTGGACTTGGAGCTGGCTGATGAGAGAGCTTCTGAGCAAAGTCTATCTACAGTTTCAGCCAGGGAAGCCTCCAAGTAACCCAGACTTGTTTGTCCCTCAAGAGCCCCTAAGTCCAACTCCATACTCGCCCCCAGTAGCAAATGATCTTCTGGCCTCTTTGGGCCACAATTTTCTATCTACAAAAATTAAGCAGATGCTGTGTTTAGTTTTGTTTTGGTTTTTCCCAGCCAGAGCTAATTATCCTAAATGTTCTGAGCACACTGGAGACCTAGAGTTGAGATTGAGACATTCCTCACCTCTGAGTAAAGGAATTACAAAAAAAGGAAGAAATAATTACCAGGGTGTGGTGCCTTCCTTGAAAGAGGCAGTTTTTATTTGTCCTTGGTCAACGATATACCTGTTGCTTTTTGCTTGCCACTTTTCTCCTTTATTGTTTTTCCTTTCTTTTTCTTTTTTTTTAATGGAAGATGGTATAATGTTGATCCAAGAAACTGACTCCTTGGAAAGGAATGCAAGTGGACTACTACAAGCCTGGTCCTGTTTTTTCCCAATTTGCCAGATTTTCCAAAAATAATGAGCCTCTTCCTGTGGGTAATCTTAAGAGTTGATCAGATCACAGGCTCACCTGTGCTGGGAACCGGACTGCCCTGGCCAGCATGCTTATTATGTTATTAAAATGGCTTCCAGGGACATCAGAAGACCAAAATGTAGCAATCTAGAAAAAGAAAGGTATTAGTCTACCAGCTCACTAGCAGGGAGGAACACAACAGATTCTCACAGCAGTGTCTCCCACAAAGAGTTTTTAGTGCCATGAGAATAGCAAAGAGAGCGTCTCTGAACAAAGATGTCCATGGCCAAAAAACACATACTAGCCCTGGTGACCCAGGACACACGTGGGATTGAAAAAAGGATGCACAGTAAAATAAAAAAAAGGTTGTGCATTAACTTACTGTTGCTCCAAATTTACTGGTGTGGGGGATTTTTAAAAATATGTACATTTGGGAAATTTCACTTTTTCGATTATAGCAATCAACTGTAGCGCAATTAGGGAGTTAAATGGAGCAGGTGTAGGGAGTGAGAAGCAGTGTTACCCAGGTATTCGCTTCAGTGTCAGGATACAGCAGGGAATCACAGGCACCACGGGAAACTGGGGAGCCCGTGTTTTCACCCCAGGAGGCACAACTGGCCATTCGTCCTGTAGAGAGAGGTATCGGTCTAGTGTTGCCAGACTGAGTTCTTATTAAGGGAGCTAAAGTTGATGTTTTTATTTGCAATAACTTGGTTTTTCAATGTTTCCAACTAATACAATGTTTTCAAACACCTCAAACCTATTTTGTTTGATCTGAAGTTCTACGCTGTCTGAAACCCCTCGTTTGCAACCTATCCTAGGAATCTGGGATCTTTGGAAAAGAACAGGTTCTCCTGAAATGGGTCATCACTGAGGGAAGCTCTTCAGGACCAGAGGGAATGTGACCTAGATGTGAGAAAAGAGGCCCAGACCTACAACTATATCATAATAACAGGAAAGTCACTTAGCTGTTGGCTCTTGCTTCCGTCTTTCATAAACCTTGAAAGCAAGACTAGATCTTGTTCTGTGAGATACACTATGAAAGAACTGAACCCACAGACCAGTAAGTTGGCATAATGGTTGAAAATGAGTCTTCTTTTGAGTCCAACAATGCATGTTGATATAAGAAAGGCCCAGTAAGTATCCTGTCCAATTTTGTTTAACTTGGCTGTGTCATTTGAGACGTTCTGCCCTGCAAGTAGCAGAAACTTTGACTTAAACAAATTTAAACAACAAAGGGATTTTGTTGGTTTCCTTCATTACAAATGCCCTGAGGTAGGAAAGTCAGCAGCATGGTTCAGTCATTCTAGACCACAGCTCAGTAGTCCTTTGTGTTTATCCTCTGTCTGTGTCATCTTGACCTTCAGGTTAACTTGCCTCATGGCAGTGAGGTGGCTGCAATAGGGCCATCCCTTATAATTACATCTGATAACCCACAAAGGAAAAAAGACATTTTTGTTAGTCCCCAGAAGATCAAAGAAGTGTATGCTCTCAGCTTCCCTCTTGGTGGACCCTGCTGGGTGGGTCTCCTATTCACCCGTGACTGAGCCCTTAAGGACAGGGAATGGAATTGTTGTAATGGGGTTTATCACACCTGAGCCACAGTCCTTCCCAACGGAATCCAGCATACAGTCCACAAACTATTCAGGCTATTCAAAGGAGAGTCATCCAAATGCAAATAATAATAATAATAATAATTATTATTATTATTATTATTATTATTGTTGTTGTTATTATTATTATTTCTGGGACGGGACATCAGGTACTGCAGAGGCTTCTCCAAGGTCCTCTCCTCAATTAGTTCAAATCATCTTCCAGCCTGGACTCTAAGTGAACAGATCCCCCTGAGACCTTGTATACTGTATGTCCCCAAAGTTCTTCAGACTCTGAAGTAGGCTGATTCTAGGAAAGTCCCTGGAATGGGAAGCTACAAATGTTACATAAATGTTAGTCATTTCCTTAACTAATGGAGGCTGCAGGGC